GAAAGCCCTGTCTCCATTTGGGTCCTCGTAGGATAAGTCCTGCAGAGAAAGGGGCTTGGGACACTCACGCCTCTGGCTCCCCCCAGCCCGGGGATGGCCAGATGGGCGCAGCTGCTAATGCCCACAAGCGCCCACGCCGCCCTGGCTCCCAGCCTGGCTTTCGGATCCCATTGCAAAACGCAAGATGTCAGAGAGACGCTATGCAAAACACAAGCCGTTGAAAACACATGTTCAAATGCTCCTCACTTTTTTTGTTTGTTTGTTTCAGCATATTATGGGGGTACAAACGTTAAGGTTACGTATATTGCCCAATGTCCCCACTCCCACCTGCCCGACACCCAATAAATGCTATTCCTATATGTCCACTTAAGTGTTGATCCGTTAATACCAATTGCTGGTTGAAAACTGTTTTTTGTTTTTTTTTGAGACAGAGTCTCTCTCTTGTTGCCCGGGCTAGAGTGCCGTGGCGTCAGCCTCGCTCACAGCAACCTCCAACTCCTGGGCTCAAGCCATCCTCCTGCCTCAGCCTCCCGAGTAGCTGGGACCACAGGCCTGCGCCACCATGCCCGGCTCATTTTTTTCTATGTATTTTTAGCTGCCCAAGTAATTTCTTTCTATTTTTGGTAGAGGCGGGGCTCTCACTCTTGCTCAGGCTGGTCTCGAACTCCTGACCTCAAACGATCCACCCGCCTCAGCCTCCCAGAGTGCTAGGATGACAGGTGTGAGCCACCGCGCCCGGCCAGCTCCTCACTTTTTAACAGGGATGACAAGGGGACTCTTTGGACTTCCACAGTCTAACCTTAAGTTCCGGCCTTTTCATTTTGCCCGATGGATGCAAAACTACGGCTTGTTAAAACCAGGCCCCGATCTCTTCCGGGACATACTGTGATAACCAGACACAAATTCCAGCCACACTGGGAAGGGCGGCGGGGGTCCCCAGAATTACAACAGCACAGGAAAGAAAAGGCGACATTATGTGACCACAGTGAACATCATCTTAAAATGCATCATCTTAAAATGTAGATATACTTTTTAAAACCTCACAGACAATCAACAACCAAAGCACGGGACTGTGAAGTCCATAAATCACTGCTTTAAAGAAATCCAGGCAAGCGGCAGTCCCAGAGAGAGCAAGAACAGACTCCTAGCGGAACAAAGTTGCTGCATGCTTTTTTTTCTTTTTTGGCCTGCAGGATGGGACCCAGCAAAGAAATACAGGGCTGTCGCGTGTGTCAGGGAGTTAACCCACACGTGAACGCTCCGGGGCTCGGCCAGGCCGCCCCCCCTCTCCCCTCCCTGGCTTGTCATCTGGCTGCAAAGTGTGTGCAAATCCACTGTCCTCCCTTCCAGAAGCCAGCAGACACGGAAGCAGCTTCTCCGAGCTCTGTCTTTGCAGTTTGGGGGTGCCTGCAAACCGGGCAACCCGCCTTTGCAGTTTGGGGGTGCCTGCAAACCGGGCAGCCCGCCTTTGCAGGTTGGGGGTGCCTGCAAACCGGGCAGCCCGCCTTTGCAGCTTGGGGGTGCCTGCAAACCGGGCAACCCGCCTTATGCAGGTTGGGGGTGCCTGCAAACCGGGCAACCCGCCTTTGCAGGTTGGGGCTGCCTGCAGACCGGGCAACCCGCCTTTGCAGGTTGGGGGTTCCTGCAAACCGGGCAACCCGCCTTTGCAGGTTGGGGCTGCCTGCAAACCGGGCAACCCGCCTTTGCAGTTTGGGGTGCCTGCAAACCGGGCAACCCGCCTTTGCAGCTTGGGGGTGTTTGCAAACCGGGAAACCCGCCTTTGCAGCTTGGGGGTGTTTGCAAACCGGGAAACCCGCCTTTGCAGGTTGGGGTGCCTGGCGGAAAACCGAAAGGGAGGACAGGGAAGCCACCAGAGCCCCACGCCAAGGCAGGCACGGAAAAGGAGGGGTCACCTGAATGTCCCAGTGGCTTTCTGCACACCCTGTGCTGCGGGGCTGCAGCCTGGCGAGCCCGGGCGCGCAGGGACCCCCTCCCGCGCCCTCCCCTCCGTGCGCCCCGCGGGCTGGAGAGGCGCCAGCCCTGCCAGGCCCCGCAACCTCAAGCCGAGGCGCACTGGGCGCGGGGGCGACAGCCGCTGGAGTTTGGGGCAGGCGGGGAGGGAGCAGCCCGCAGGTGCGGGAGGCGGCCCGGCGCTCACCTGGTACACGGCGCGCAGCCCGCACCACGCGCGCAGCGCCTGCCCGCACGCCCGCAGCCGCTCGCCCGACCAGCGCCGCAGCGCCGCCGCCGCCAGGCCCCACGCGAGGCGGCCGCCGCCGAACAGCAGGTCCTCCACGCCGCACGTGCACCCCGACGCCATGCCGCCCTCCGCGGGGACCCCGCGCGCAGACGCCCCCGCCCCGCCCGCGGCCCGGCTCCGGCCGGCCCCAGACTGGGCTGTCACCGCGTCCCGCCGCCCCGCGCGGCATGCCCGGGGTTGGGCGCGCGCCAGCCAACCGCTGCGCCCGGTGGCGTGGGGACCTCCCCGCCCCGCCCGCCGGGAGCCCTGGGGCGCAGGGACCGCCCGGACCTCCCCGCCCCGCCCGCCGGGAGCCCTGGGGCGTATGGACAGCCCGGACCATCCCGCCCCCCTGCCGGGAGCCCTGGGGCGCACGGACCGCCCGGACCTCCCCGCCCCCCTGCCGGGAGCCCTGGGGCGCACGGACCGCCCCCGCCCGCCTGGAGCCCTGGGGCACAGGGACAGCCCGGACCACCCCGCCCCCCTGCCGGGAGCCCTGGGGCGCAGGGACAACCCGGACCGCCCTGCCCGCCTGGAGCCCTGGGGCGCACGGACCACCCCGCCCGGAGCCCTGGGGCGCGGGGACCCCCAAGACCACCCGGAGCCCTGGGGCGCAGGGACTGACAGGCATTGCCTGCCCGGAGCCCTGGGGCGCACGGACCCGCCCCGCACCGCTCGGAACCCTGGGGCACAGGGACCGCCTGGACTGCCCGCCCTGAGCCCTGGGGAGCCGGGACTCCCCGACCGCCCACCCCAGCCCTGGGGCACAGGGACCCGTCCCGCCCCGCCCAGAGCCCTGGGGAGCGGGAACCGCCTGGACCACCCGGAGCCCTGGGGAGCGGGGACCGCCTGGACTGCCCGCCCTGAGCCCTGGGGCAAGGGGACCCCCCCACCGCCCACCCGGAGCCCTGGGGCGCGGGGACTGACCCGCCCCACCCAGAGCCCTGGGGAGCGGGGACCGCCTGGACCACCCGGAGTCCTGGGGCACAGGGACCCGTCCTGCCCCACCCAGAGCCCTGGGGCTCGGGGACCACCCGGACTGCCCGGAGCCCTCACCGCCAGGAGCCCTGGGGCGCAGGGACCCCCGACCGCCCTGCCCGGGGAGGGATGCCGGGCAGCTCTTTGCAGGAGGAGGGCGCGCCCTTGTCCCCACTGCAGGGTCTCCGCCTCGCCCCAGCTCTGCCAGGCCCACGACACCTCTGGAAAGCCGCGCGCAAAACCAAAACGGACGCAGAGAAAACCCTCCAAGGCGTCCCTGGGGACCTCGCTCCCGGGGGACAGCCCGGCGTGTTTCCTTGGTTCTGAAGCCGGAGGAGCCACGACAGGGAGGCGCCAGTCTCAGAGGGACACGGTGCAGGCAGCTCCAGGACCCGCCTTTGCTCCCAACCGGAGGGGCTTGACAAAAGGACA